AAAACATTGTGTTATATACCACAGATACATATGTCATATATATACACTATATATGTCTTCCTCTGAAGCGCAGGCTGGTCTTAAACTCACTGTGTAGCCCAGGCTGGCCTGGAACTCTTGGCAATCCTCCTGCCTCAGCCTCTCAGCCTCCTGAGTGCTGAGGTTGCAGTGTCTGCCACTCCACCTAGAAATTTCTGTTTGTACAGAAAGAAGAAGAATTAAAAAATAGAAAGAAGAAAGTGAGAAAGAAGGATAGAGAGAGGAAAGGAAGGAAGGAGCTAGAAAAAGAAGAAGAGATTAAATCCAAAATAAGTAAAAGGAAATAATAAAGATCACCGGAGAAATCAACGAAATAGCACTTCATGTCCACTAAAAGGACATTAAGAAAAAAGGCCCGGGCTGCAGCTCAATGGTGGAGCACGAGCTCAGCAGGCTGAATGCCCTGAGTTCGTCTCCAGCACCACCAAAAAGCAAAGAAACAAAAAGCCTGCTTTAAAAAACACATCAGTTGGGATGACCCATGCCTGTAATTCCAGCAGACCAGGAGGCTGAAGCAGGAGCCTTACTGTGAGTTCAAGGCCAGCCTGGACCACATAGGGAAACCCGATCTCAAAATACAAACAAACAAAAAATGAACCCAGGAGCCAAATAAGCCTCTCCTCCTTTAAGTTATGGGTGTCAGGTATTTTGTCCCTCGGTGCCAAAGCTGACTAATACAGTCAATGTCAATGAACCCAAAGGTCATTAAGTGAAGCAAAATCAGCCAGGCACAGATAATCAAATACTGCAGGATCTCGTTTCATTGTGGAGTGGAACTCAGGGCAGAGGAGGGGGAATAGTGGTTAATCAGGACTGAGGCTGAGGAGAGGAGGGGGATGTCGGTGAGGGGACATAAAGTTGCACTTCGGAGGAATAAATTCAAGAGTTCTGTAGCACAACACGGTGAGTATCGGTCATGACAATGCACTGCGTTCTTGGAAAGGAGAGAGACGTTAATCGTGGGCATCACAGAGAGAGAGGGAGAAAGAGAGATCAATGTAATTCACTAAAGAAGAACAGCACAATCTTCTCATGAGATGCAGCAAAATGACTTCAGGAAACTCTTCCCCCGTTCCTGATGCAAACTCTCAGTAAGACAGGCCCAGAGGGGCTCCCTTACATAAAGGGCCAAAGGAATGGACTAGGAAACAAACAAGCCCTGCTACTCTGTGAGTTAACCATCGAAGACAGAATTTTCCCCCTGACCGCAGGCTCAGGGTGTGATGCCACTCTGAGGGCCTCTTCAACATTATACTGGATCCCTGTCACCTGGAGAAGGCAAGACAAAGAAAGGGCACACAGGTGAGAGAAAAGAAGGACTGGGTATGGCGGTGCTCGCCTGTGATCCCAGCCCTGGGAAGGCAGAGGCAAGAGGATCAGAGCAAGTTCAAGGCCAGCCTGGGCTAATCATGAGTTCAGAACAGAACAAAACAAAAAGGAAGAGATAAATCTGTTCGAAGTTGAAATCCCAGCACTCAGGAGGCTTGGAACTTGAGGCAATTCTCCTGGCCTGGGCCTCCTAACAGCTGGAAGGACAGATGTGTGCCACCCCACCTGGTTTAACAGGATTTTTATGAGACTTGAAACACTAAATGTGACTGTTATGGGCAAATTAAAGATCTAAACACTTTTACTTTATTCTTTTGTCTTTTCTTTTTCTTTCTCTTAAATTCTTTTATTGGTACATTTTATGTATGCAATACGGTTACATTCATCATTGGGATCTTGTACCTTTACATGTTGTATCTTGGTTCTTATTTTTTCCCCATTCCCCTGCCCTCCCTTTAACCCCTCTACCCCTCCCTATTGGCAAAGGCTTTGTTTCCATTTATTTCTTATCTCATATTTTTTCCTTTCCCTTCTTTCCTTTCCCCCACCCCTGCCACTTCTCCCACCCCTTGGGACCCAGGAAGGTGGAGTCCTGAGCTTGCTAGGTGGGAAGTTGATGCTGTCCTCCAGACTCACCACTCAGCTGTGCTGTGGCCACTAAAGAACAGTGAAGAACAACTGGACGTGGCGGTGGGGACTCACCGCACTGCGCACCAGTGATGCCTGTGCCCTCCTACGTGTTCATCACATTTCTCTAAAGAAGTTTGTAGACCTTTTGTTTTTTTGCAGTGCAAGCCAGGGCCTCACGCCCGTCAGGCACAGGCTTTACCCCTAAGCCGCTCCCCAGCTGTGAAGACATTTTTAAGTGTTTTGTTTTGGTACTGGGGATCAAACTTGGGCTTGTGCACCAGGCAGCAAAACCACTGAGCTAAATCCATGGCTGTGAAGACATTTTTAAAAATCCAAAGAGAGGGCCAGGGATTTAGCTCAGTGGTTCTGCTGCTTGCCTCACAAGCACAAGGACCTCAGTTCAATCCCCGGTACAAAAAAAAAAAAAAAAAAAATCCAAAGGGAACGGGAACAGATTCCCTTGTCCTTGTCAGGGCCCCTGTGACACTGAACCATGAAATGAGGTGAGTGGCCCAGGGGTGGGGGGAGACTTCAGAAGCCCCTTCTTCAGGAAGCCCCTGATTTCCAGATAGGTCAGGACCCCTGGGCCTCCCCCACTCCCTGAGCTCCCATGGTCCAATCCAGACGACTCTAGATGATGGAAATGGGCCTCGAACCAGACTGTCAGGCCCATGAAGGTAGGATCCGGCTTTGAAGGTCACCAGTGTCCCCAGAACTACCCCACCGAAGTCCGGGTGAAGAGGATGAACTCTGATGGGTGGAAGGGTAGGTGGGTAGATGGAATGGATTTAGAGGAATAGAAGGAATGGGGGCCCAGAGGGATCCCAAGTGGGGGACATGACTCAGAGGGCCCAGAGTAGGGTGAGATCTCAGAGGCGCCTGGAGGAAGGGAGGTTCAGAGGGGGAAATGGGGACTTAAGAAATGAGGGGTCCCAGGAAAGGGACAAGGGCTCAGGAAGGGAGGTAGGGACTGGAGGAGGGGCCTCAGGGGCCGGGTGGAGAGAGGGGTGAGGTCCAGCAGGGCATCTGGGTTCACAGATGGAGGCAGAGGTTGCAGAGCCTGGGCCCAGGCTGGCCTGCAGGACAGGAGCTCCCCTCCTCCTCCCCTAGCCACAGCAAGGGCCCTGCTTGTCCCTGAAGGGGCTCTGGGTTGTGGCGAGGGCACAGACGTTGCTGGACACACAGCACACAGTGCTCCTCTCTCCTCAACACGGTGGGGGCTCTGCCGCACGCTGCTTTTTTCTGGAATTTTCTGTCTTTTAGATCCAGGCTGCAACTTCACCCTTCCACCCACCCTACCCCACACACACTCCCTGTCCTGGGGATTGAACTTAGGGCTTTATACTGAGCTACACCCCCAGCCCTCTTTTTATTTTTTATTTGAGACAAGTCAGTAAATTGCCCATGCTGGACTCCAACTTGGAATCCTCCTGCCTCAGCCTCCTGAGCCCTGGGGTTACAGATTTGCTCCACTGCGTTTGGTCATACTTCTTTTCTTTTCATTGCCAAATGGTGTTCTGCTGTGTGGCCGCGCCCCACGTATTTTGTCCTCATGGGGGCTTTGCAGTTGTTTCCACTTTGGGCACAGTGGACAGTGGCAGATGGTCTGAGTTCGTGCAATGGCTGGACGGAGGCCTGAATCCCAGGCCTGTGGGAAGAGCCTGTCCCCCATAAGATGCTGGCATTTGGGACACTCAGCCAGCACCTTGCCTAGGACGGGTGTCTTGTAAACTCCTGTCCTAGAGCAGAAAAGGGCGGATTTGGAATTTGAACCCACATCTAAGTCCAAACTGCTGTGAATCATTTTCCACAGATCAAGACCTGTGCCAAAAGCCCACACCCATGACTTCACCAAGGTCCCCATCACAGGAAAGGGGAGGGCTACTTGGGCACCCGGGGAGGGAGGTCCTGCCCTGCCCTTGTCAGGTGGAAGACTTCCTGTCTCCAAGCCTGCAAGTTTGCTGAGTGAATCCCGGTGAACACCGTAGTTGGTATCCAGTAAGTGCCTATTTAATACATCTGTTAGACTCTTGTACACTCCACTTGACAGCCAGGCAAATGGAGGCACAAAGTGAAGTCACAGCTTCCCAGGGGCCCAAGAAAATGTTTGCAAGCTAGAAAACACTCATAATAGCCCAAAAGTGGAAACAACCTAAATGTCTATCAGTTGACACACAGATAAATAAAACAGGTCATATCCATGCCACGGAATATTACTCAGCAGTAAAAATGAAGCATTACTAGATGAAGCTTGAGGCTTCATGGTAGAAGCCAGAAAAAAAAAACACACGTTATATGATCCCATATACATGAAATGCTCACAACAGGCAGATGTACACTACAGACGAAACAGTAGTGGTTGCCAGGCCTGGGGGTAGGAGGTTGGCTAGAGGGAGCAGGGGGTGCTGACTACATGGCGTGTGGTTTCTTTTTAGGGTAATGAAAACGTTCTCAAATTGATGGTTTTGATGGTTGGGCAACTGTGACTATAAAAAGGGATAGCTGGGAGTGGTTGTGCTGGCCAGTGATCCTAGCACTCAGGAGGCTGAAGCAGGAGGATCTCTGCAAGTTCAAGGCCAGCCTGAACTATATAATGAGACCCTGTCTCAAAACATGAAGGAAAGAAAGAAAGAGAGAGAGAGAGAGAGAGAGAGAAAGAAAGACAGGCTGGGGATATAGATCCTTTGCCTACCATGCATAAGTCCCTAGGTTCCAATCCCAGCACCTAAAAAAAAAAGGAAGGGTCATATCATCCCAGCTAGTCAGGAGGCTGAGGCAGGAGAATTAAAACTTTGAGCACAGCTTGGGCACCTTGATGAGATCCAGTCTCAAAATCAAAAAATGAAAAAGGGTTGAGGACGCGGCTCAGTGTTAGGGCACCCTGGGTTCAATCTCCAGTACTACAAAAACATCAGGAAAAGTAAGGATTTTTTAAAAAGAAGGCTGGGAGATATAGCTTAGTGAAAGAGTGTTTGCCTATTAAAAAAGAAAAGACTACTGAATGGTGCACTTATTTATTTATTTTTAGTTTTTTGAGACAGGGTCTTTCTATGTAGTTCGGGCTGGTCTCACACTCATGGAGATCCTCCTGCCTCAGCCTTCCAAGGGCTGAGATTAATAGGTTGACGCTACCACACATGTCTTGAATGATGCACTTTAAGTGAATGGGTTTTCTGCTATGGAAACCGTATTTTGATAAAGTTGATTTTGAAAAGAACCTCGCAGATTACAAGTGTAATTACACAAATTCCTACAAATCCTTGTTCCTCGACTTCTCTACTGTTCTGCAGATCAAAGACACTGCAAGTGTCACTTTGGTGGGTAAAGCACAAAGGCAAAAGGCTAAAGGATTCACCTGCTTGGAGAAGAAAGCAGCTCAGAGAGAGGCAACTTCCTGCCCAGGGCTACACAGCACAGCCTCAAGGCTCCACGCGTGTGTGCGTGCGTGCGTGCGTGCGTTTCCAACCTCAGCCCCAGTGCTGACCCCTGGCTGCCTCCTCTTTCTGACTTCTCAGGGAGAAGAATAAAACACAACACAGGCCAGGAAGCATCCATCACGCGCTGTCCAGGGGAGTCCGGAGGGGCAGGGGTCAGCAGGGAGGTGACCTCCAGGTCTCCATGGGGACCAAGATCCGGCGGGGCTGGGGGTGAGAGGCTGGAAATTTTCCCACCCTGAGATTTTCCTGTGACAACCCAGGAGGGCGCCCTGGATGCCGCTGGCCCTACCCCCAACCTCCTTCCTTTCTTGACTCGGCTTCCCGCTGAGGATGGATGGGGAGGCTGTGCCAAGCTGGAGCCGCCAGGCCCGGAGAAAGAGGACAAAGTGACGGTCCCTGGCTCAGAGTGGCCCAGGGGCTGCCTCGGAGCCACACAGCCCCAGGGACCTGTGCGAAGGGGCGGCTGAGAGCTGCTGGCCCGGTGCAGCCAGCGTTGGACCCCGGCCCGGCCTTGGGCGGCTAGGAGCGCTTGGCCCGGGGCCCTGTCCCCCTCCTTCCTCCCTCACACGTGGGACTCAGCCCTTCCTCGTGTGAAATAGAAACCTCTTTATTCTAAGTATCGAACATTCTTTAATACGTTGGATCTGGGCCAGACCTTGAGGTGAGGGGAAGGCGGGCTGGGATATTTCTGTCGCCTTCCAGAACACAGCATCGCGCCAGCAGCACTGCCACCGCCACCCTGGGCCGTGGACTGGGCGGAGCTGGGAGCGCGTGGGAGGTCTCAGCGCCTGCGGGCCTCTATGTCCTTCTAGGGGGTTGGGGATGGGCAAGGAGACCCCTAAAGATCCGCCACACAAGGGTCTGTGTCCCAGGCATGGAGTCACGGGGGTATGAGCAGCAAATTGGGGGCACTGAGGCTCGGGTCGGGGAGAGCCTCAGCGCTGGGCCCGGGGCCTCCATGGCGACGGGGGTCGAGGCCGCAGGGGCAGACAGGCCCAGCTGGGCCTGGCCAGCCGAGAGAGTGGCAGGCGGCCCAGGGCGAGAGGGAGGCCGAGGCAGAAGGACGGGTGTGGCACAGGGATGTCGGAGAAGAAAGCACGGTCCCGAGGGGGCGGCAGGGCTCCTCCCTCAGACAGCTCCAGGTCCCGGGCTACGGCCAGGATCTCCTGACGGGCAGCCGAGCTGTGCAGGCCACGGATGTCAAGCAGGGCCGCCACATGCTTCCGCCTGGGGACAGGGGCCGACAGGTGCACAGGGTCCCGGGCCCACCTGTGCACCCCACCTGAGCCAGAATCCCAGGAGCCCCTGTGTCCCCTCCCCCACATTGTCACCTCCCTGCCCCTCCCCTCATCCCAGAGCTGCCCAGCCTTTCCAGATTCGCCCCTCACACTCAACTCCAGAGACTTCCCCTCCTCACCAGCGCTGGCTCCTTCTCACCCCAAGTCTCAGCCCTGGATTAAATTAACCTTCCTCCACCCCAGTTTAACTCAGCCATTTCCATCCGGGTCCCGGCACACCCATCACATGCCACAGCACAGCCTCAGCTTCCCTTCCCCTTCTCCCCAGTGGCCAGGGTCATGCCAAGGATGTGACCCTGCTCCCCGGAGTCAGACCCCTGTCCCCTGCCAGCCTAGACCTGCTCCGACCTCCCTCCCCATTCTGAGGTTTGTCCCCTGGTCCGGCTGCTGTCACCACCGCCACCATACAGATGGCAATGTAGAATGGCAGTCCAGTGTACTGGTTTTCCAGCCAGTCAGCTGTCTGGGTTCAAATCCCAGCACTGACACTTGGTAGCTGATAGTCTCATGCTGCAGTTACTTGCACATGGTTTCTAAAGTACCTTCAATTCTACCTCTTATAGAGTAGGGGTGTGAGGTGCTTATTGAGAGCTGGGTGTGGTGATGCTCAACTGTATGCCCAGCACTCTGGGAGGCTCAGGCAGGAGAATGGAACGTTCAAACCCACACACACACACAAAAATGGCTGGGGATTTAGCTCAGTGGTTCCGCTGCCTGACTCACAAGTGCAAGGTCCTGAGTTCAATCCCTGGTACCAAAAAAAAACACCCCAAAAAACAAAAACCAGAAAGTTCAAACCCAGCTTGAGCAACTTAGAGACGCTGTCTCCTCAGAAAAAAAAAAGAAAAAAAGAGAGCTGGGGATGTAGCTCAGTGTGAAGGCCCTAAATTCAATCCCCAGTACTGGGGGAGGGTGCTTATTTAGGATGAAGGACTCAGAAGGACTCAGAACTGTCACGGGGGACGATGTGAATTCCCCAAGAATCCCACAAAGACACACTATTTATCCCCAGGGCTGATGAGGAAACTGAGGCCCGGAGAATGTCACACAGAAAGGAAGCGGCCCATAGGGATCTGGATGGCTCCCGAGGCCATCCCAGTGTGCACACACGCAGTGCCCAGCGTGTCCCCATTCCCCAGGTTCCCTGCCGGGCCGCCCCTTCCTGCCGGGCAGCCTGTGCCCCCCTGCCCCGGGCTTCCTGTGATCGCCTGTTTGTTTGTGAGCCCTGGTGGTGGTGGCGGCAGCAGTGGTGGCGACGGCGGCAGGAGAAGGAGGGAAATCGTATTAATAATGCCCTGGTTCCAGCAGGAAACGGCCGTCAGACACGCTCGCCGCCTCCCGCCCTGGCCCAAGAGGCAGGAAATGGGATGGATGCCAGGGCTGTGGAGACCTGGCTGGGCAGAGGGCAGCGGGCTGTCTCTCACCTGATGTCGGGGTAGTCTCGCACCAGCACTGCCACCTCCACCTGGATGCTGGGCGTGTCCTCCAGCTGCAGCACCTCGGCCAGGTGTGGCACCACAGCGTCCAGCCACGAGGCCTGGGACTCCTGCGGAAGGCAGCAGGGCTCACTCTGTGCTCACTCCTCCCCAAAAACCCTTCTCCAAGAGGTGGCCTCTGCCCCTCTAGCTCCGCTGGCCTGTTTTTTCCATCTATAAAAAGGGTCAGCAGGGGATGTACAGTAATCCTAGCACTCTGGGAGGCTGAGGTAGGAGGATTCCAAGTTCCAGCCCAGCCTGGGCAGTTTAGTGATTTAGCAAGACCTTGATTATTTCAATAAAAATAAAATTTCACACTCAGCTGGGAATATAGCTGAGTGTGAAGGCCCTGGATCAAATCCCTAGTACAAACAAACAAATAAAAAAAAGGTCAGAAGACACTGTGGCCAGAGGTTATGTAGAATGTTTAGATATTTAAAGAAAAGTCAGTAATACAGTCCTGTTTCTGCAGATAATCTGGGGCTGGGTGATCCAAGCTGAAAACCTGTTCCAAGATTACAAAATGTGTTGGCATTCTGGGAGAACTGCATAAAGCCTATGCACTGTGCACCCTGTCTCAGAACTGCATGCAAGTCCACCATTGTCTCAGAAAGTTTCCAAAACAAAAACCAGTCCAAGGACTCCAGGGGAGAACGTGGAATAGCGGTAGAGTGAGGCCCTTCCAGCCCTGCTGGCAACTCAGTAGAAAGAAGACTTGTTGGTTTCAAATTCTTGGATTAGGATCCTGACTGATTTTTAGCTTTTGGGGGGGGGTCCTTGTGATTAAACCCAGATCTCTGCACTGAGCTATGCCTCCAGCCTGGGCTTGAAGTTGTGATCCTCCTGCCTCAGCCTCCCAGGGTGCTGAGATTACAGGCGCGTGCCACCACACCGGCTGCCCTTAGCTTGGATTGTGCTCATGATAATAATATATTGCTAACGTTTGTGGGTGGCAGCTCTGCAGAGTACCTGCTGTAACAGGAATTAAGTGATGGAATCTCTCAGCCCGGAAGGAGATATTGTTGGGGACTGAATAAAGCACCCGGCAGGTGCTCTCCTAGAGAAAGCAGGATTTACTACACCAAGAGTGGATCGGAGGGTCCTGGGCTGCTGTCCCGCAAAGGCCTTGGGCCAGGCCGCACTCACCAGACGCCGGAACAGCCGCTGCAGCTGAGCCGCGTCCTCGCGGAGCCTCCCGGCCACGCGGCTGCGGGTCCGGGCCGAGCGGCAGCGCAGACGCCCGCGAAGCAGCGGCCTCACGTACTCCACCAGCGCGCGCCGGTGCAGCTCGGCCACCAGCGCCTGGGGACCCGGCGGGGGCAAGGAGGTGAGCGCCCCCGTACTCGCCTCACCCTGCCAGGCCGCGGGAGACCTGTCCTGAGCTCCCCAGCCCCAACCTTCAAGCCTGAGGGCGCCTCGGTGACCGTGTCTCCCACGATCTGCCCTGAATCTGCCCGCGGACTCCCCCTTCCGGCCCCGAAGGATGCTGCGTTCTAGCTCCCCTACGCACCCCACCCGGGCCCTGCCTCTCATTTCTCAGGGGGGCGCCTCCCCTCCCCACAGATCCAACGCAGCTTGCGGGTCTCGGGCCCCAGCGCGCACCCCCCGCACCTGGTAGGGTTCGTCCTGCATCCTGCGCAGCGCCAGGGCCTGCGCGCCCAGCGTGCCCACGATCCCATCCAGGGCCTCCGGGCTGCTCAGCCACTTCCGGCGCATGAGCTTGTTGAAGTGCGGCTGGGGAGACAAGAGTGTGGAGCGGTCACAGCCTCCTCTCTTCGCTCTTCTCTCAGGAGGAGAGTTTCCAAGACCTGCTTCGGTCGAGTCAGGGATGGGCGTGCTCACGGACAGCAGTGGGAGGACCCAGCACCTACCCTGCCCTGCCAGGAACTCGGCTGGTGCAGAGGGAGAGACAGGTGGGGCCCAGAGCTGGGGGAGCAGGAGAGCTCTGCATAAAGCCCAAGAGGGCTTCCCAGAGGAGGGGACACAAAGCCGAAACCCCAGTGGCGGTCACTGCTAGCCGAGTGACCGGGGAGAGAGGAAGGCTCCGATTTCAGATGGGCACTTGGGTCTGCGTACCAGGAAAGGGGTCACGGAGGCAGGCAAGACCATCTGCATAATTCTTCCAGCCCAGCGCAAAATGAACACATGGGAACCAAGTTCAGAAATTACTAAAAACTTTAAGACGGAGACAGCAGAGCATTAACCAAGCTTGAGCCTTTTCAAGTCCATGTTAGGGGGTCCAGACGGGGAGCAGGAGGCTGCTGAGAGGCCCAGGGCAGGAGGGCGTGGGGCCTGCTGGGGGCTCGCTTTCTCGGGGCCTGGGGAGCCAGGCGGGTTCTGAGCAGGAGGGAGAGGTTTGGGAGGAGGCGGGAATTAGGGAGGAGGCTGGAGGAACACGGAGGGGAGGGAGAGCGAGAGGCTTAGGATTCACAGGAGGTGGCAGCTGCCCGGGGAGCACGGGCCTCAGAAGAGCTGGACAGAGCCTGGCGGGCACGGTGGGGAGGGAGCAGACGACACAGGCGATGCGGCTGCATTCCACGCGGCCCCAGGACCCCTTTCCCACTCTTGTCCTCACAGCAGTGAGTTTTCAGAACTTCCAAATATGAGGCTTTTGTTGAGAGAGAGAGAGAGAGAGAGAGAGAGAGAGAGAGAGAGAGAGAGAGAGAGAGAGAGA